ATTATTATTATTATTATTATTATTATTAGCCTTGGTCAGCTCCTTAGCAACTTGCTGGTTCGGTGCACTGAATATACCCAGTGGCAGATGATGCCATTACCAGAATGGGTTGTTGCACTATCAGCAAAGGCTACAGTACTAAGAAATGTCAGTGTGGATAACTTTCAAACTGATTATATAAGAGTGTGGCATGCTACTTTCTCTGCTATGGACTTAAGCATTGCATGTATGAAACTGACCTTCTGTACTTCTGTCATTTTTTCCATTTTTTTGTTGTTTGCTTCTTTTGTTTAGAAGAGTCTATACTCTTTTGGAGAAAGAGGTGTACTGTTCAGCATATGGTGTGATCCTCTCTTTGTTTACTTGGACATAATCATCTTTGAGCTCAGTGAGGATGCATCCAGATAAATGTGGAAAAGGTTTCACCTTAATCATAGACTAAACACACATTCAAACATAGGTATAACATGTAAACACCTATGTTCAAATGTGACATAATAATAGATATCTACAAAAGGGAGCCGGGCCTGGGGAAATTAGGGAATATTGCCTTTGGAATAACACAGTGTAAACAGAAACCAACCCAAACCTTTTAAGGTTTGTTTGCATAATCAAATAGACCATTTCACTCACCATGTTTCATGTTATCCTTGCTATTTTGGTCCAGGACTGATTTCTTTATGTGTGTTTGATAAATTAATTATTTAATTAATTAAATCATATTTAAGAAGATTATTGCATGCATTTTGATAGCCAAACAAAACTGAAGTTTGGCATTTCAGAATCACATCTTTGTTCCACAGACTGATGTGCTTTTGTATGTTTGTGTTTTCTCCTCTCCCCTCTCCTTTGTCACATGCTTTGTTGCTTTGGAATCATGTCACATGAGCAGACATTAATGAATGTGAACAAGTGCTTATACCTTGTGCCTATCAGTGCACCAACAGCCCTGGCAGCTTCAAGTGTATCTGTCCCCCTGGACAACATTTATTAGGAGATGGCAAATCTTGCGCCGGATTGGAAAGGTTCCCAAATTATGGCACCTATTACAATAGCTATAGCTATGTTCAGTCCTCCCCTGTGAGAGACAACTACCGACCACAGCAGTATATCAGGCACTCCTCCAGTCTCTACAGCTCCTACTCAGAGTATAGGAACAGCAGAGTGCCCATCTCCAGGACTAAAAGGAGTGTTAGAAAGACTTGCCCTGAAGGCTTTGAGGCAAGAAATAACAAATGTATAGGTAAATGTCACATATATACATGTGTATAAATATATCAAGTTTTTTGGGGGGAGGTTCAAATTACAATAATTGTGACAAATTATGTTCAGGATTTCCTTTAAAAATCTGCTTGTTTGCTTTGTTCCACCAGCTCTGGATTGGATATTTAAGCAGGGCTTACTCAGATAGAATATGGGCACATACAGTTAATAAGTTAACAATATACCATTGATTAGAGTTAACTACTGTATATAATTATATTTAATGAGTGGCAGATGACTTAGGTATAGAATATTACAAGTCATTTTCATGCTAATAAAATATGACAGTTGGATGCTAGATTTGCATGGGAAGGTGTAGAGAATTTTCTATCATAGAAAAAGTGCCCCCGAACTACTCTGTGCTGCTCTTTTTTAATATTATTTTACCTAACTCAGATATGTTATTCATAGAAGCCTGGTCCAAAACTGTCTCCAGTCCCTCAGATCAATTCATATTTTCATGCCTCCTTGTTTTGTTTTGTGTTAAGCCTTGAAGCTCTTGGTTTCTGTCTTCTCTTTTTGGTGTCCCCGTCGCACTGGCCATGTGACCACGGAAGATTGTCTTCGGACAAAACGCTGGCTCTATGGCTTGGAAACGGGGATGCGCACCGCCCCCTAGAGTCGAATACGACTGGACAAAAATTGCCAAGGGGAACCTTTACCTTTTGCCTTTCCCAGAGAGAGGCACACGGTAGTGCTGATCATTATCGGCCCTCTTCATGGTTCCATCCCTGGATAAGAGGGCCATTAAACAATGCTACTATACTAAACTTGATCAATCTCACTCAATGGAGTTATTTCTAAGGATCAAACATCATCATTTAATCCAAATTTCTTTTGGAGATCTCTTATTAAATTCCCTAGCTGTCTAAAAACAAGATAAACCTAGCAGCACATGATAAAAGTAAACACAAAAGCAGGATTAACAACATTCTAAGTTCTAAAACAAACCCTAAAATGTATAAACTTCACCTTTTTGGGGGGTAGATTCCACATTATTCCACCATACTATATCCCATTACTGTATGTTTTTAGATTATTTCTTGGGTATTTTAGCTTTCCTCTATTCGTTTTTGGTGTGAAAATTAATTTTACTATGGATTGCAACCTTCATAACTTCGTTAATGTCAAATTACTCTTGACATATATAGAGATGGGACAAAATACATTCTAAATAGTGATCACTAGTTTGACTTGGACACAGAATGAGATCCCTGTGGGATGAAGCAGGTGCCCTGTTTTTTGTACTAAAACAAGTAAGAACGAATAAGAACATGAGGCAGGCAATTTGGCACCACTGCTACCTCACTTGTTTAATTCCTCTCTTGTGTGTGTTCACCACACATAAGGGTGACATTCATGTGTAAATCAGCCATCACAGCCCAACTCAAAACACAAGGCTTCCCATTAGAGTTTGTTCACACATTTGGCTGTGATTGATTCAGTGACACCCATTTATGTGGGGAAAAGTCTTGAATTGCTCTAAGTCCCATTTTAGGACAATTCTATGAAGATGTCTTCAATAAAAGTTATATTCTTGTATTCTGTAATACTCTCATTGATCATAGAACACTTGATGTGCCTCAGATGCAAATGTGGAAGTAGAGGGAGGCCTTTTTCCCCCCTGTAGTGCTGTAGAAAAACAGTAAAGGAGAATCTGTTCATTAGTCATTTTAAGAGCTTAGTTGGATGTGCTGCTCACTGTCTGCCAGTCAGTTCCCTCCAATGCAGGAGACGGAAACAATAGTGAGAGGCTGGAGTGGATACAGCAGTGAACTTGTGCTTCATTTTGCTTGCTTGTTGACTGCTCAAATATATATTAGTTGCCTTTCAAAAAGGGTTTCGGGAATAGGGTTTTAGATCTCAGCCAGAATTTCAGCAGGGTAGTAAAGGGGTTAGGTTTCTCCTCTGTCCCTTTTTTCTTCTTCTTTTTTTTGAGACAAGGGACAGGACATCAGTGTGAGTTTAGACATAACAATATCCCTGCACTTAATGGTTTAAGTACAGGCTAACAACCAACCATGGCTTCCATTTGTGGTTTGTGACTGGCTAATAAACCATGCTTTATTTGTGCCAATATAGGCACAAGGAAGCCATAATGCCACAAAATACTACCTGATCTTTTTTACATGTGAACTCAACCATTTGGCACAATAGCAACAAATGTCACTTGAAACATACAGCAGACAAGCAATAGTGGCAGTCTGCTACACATTTTTCCATGCATGGAGCAACACATCCATTTATTGTATATGGTGTCATACCATCTACATACCTACAGTAATAGACATGTTGCGTGGAGTGGGAGACAGTTCGTATTTGGGCTAAAAGTGTAACTTGAAATATGTTTATTTTAAATCATCTCTTCGTTTCTAAATTCAACCGTGTTGACCATAGGGACTGACTTTTGCTGCTTTGCTGCATTACCTATCCGCTGCCAGAAGTTGCCAAAACTAGTAATAAATAATGTTGTTTAATTTTCTGGGTGGAAGAAGTTGAGCTCATTGAGGGTGTGAGGAAGGCATTTGTGTCCAATGAGGGATTTGCCCCATGGGAGCTATATATTAGGGTAGCAGCTCCCAGAAGACAAGTAGGACTTCGGCTTTGGCAATCCTGGCCTTTCTATGCCAGCCTTTGGCACTGTTTTGACTAGAACCTACTCATTGCAAGCTGCTGGCCTCCAACAATTTCTGCAACTGGAAGGTATCAATTTCACATTCTGTCTCCTTCCTGTTTTCCAAAGGTTTGTCAAGAGATTCCTTATCCAATAGTTGAGGGATCTTTTAATAGTCATATACTACTTAAACTAAAACAACTTGAATGAGGTAGGACTCTTGTTATCTGATCTACTGCACCATCTAGCAAAATATATAAAACTGCTTGGTGCATATAAATCTTATGCAGTCTAGCGTATTTGTGCTTTTGTGTCTGTTTTAAATTTCTAACTTATTTTCTGGACTCTTCCCTGAAAAGTGCTTTTTCAATGTTCATCTTTCTTTCGGGTCTGTTTTAATTTTTGGTCTCCTGCTTTTCACAGATATTGATGAATGTGAAAATGGGGATGTTTGTCAGCATGAATGCAGGAACACTTTAGGAAGTTACCAGTGTTTCTGTCCAGCTGGTTACCGAGTAATGGCCAATGGCAAAACATGCCAAGGTAGGAAATATGTTGGTAAAATGAAAAATTGCACAAACAGTATAACATTTTCACTATCTAGCTCATAAATGCAGTATCAGACAGACCTTTAGGAGAGTTTAGACAAATATGTTCCAATAATTGATGCAGAAAAAGTCTCAGGAATCTGAAAACAAAGGTAAGCTAAATATTTATTATTCAAATTGGGAGCTTTGTTCTTGCTGTCAGAGTTACATAAGGCTATATTTCAGAGAGGGCAGGCCTGTCCCTTCTTTATGCTCTGGGTCACTTTCCTAGAGGCAACAATATCATTAGTCACTTCATTGTTTTATTTGTGATCCAGCCATTTTATTATGCATACTATTAAGGGTGCTTTTAAGGGAGCAGGGGGAACATTTTCATGGATGTGTCTAATGTGGGGGGGTGGCACAGGAAAAGCCACTGGAGATTCAGAGTGTGTCCTTAAGGTAAGACAGTAATGAGTAGTCCATCATTCCTAAAAAGGAAAACAAAGCATCTAAAGGTACCAGTGAGAGCCTTCTGTGCAATGGTTAAGCTGCAGTACTGCAGTGAAGACTGCTCATGGCCCGAGTTTGATCCAGGGTTCAGGTGGCTCTCTCAAAGTTGACTCAACCCTCCATCCTTCTGAGGTCACTAAATCGAATACCCAGTTTGTTGGGGGTGGGCGGGCAATGTGTAGCTTACATAATTAAATTGTAAACCACCCAAAGAGTGCTTTAAGTACTGTGGGGCAGTATATAAGCAGCACATTTTGTTTTACTCTGCCATGAAATGGGCCTATGCAAGCTGTCCTTATAATGAAAAAACAGCCCAAACTTGGAAAACTCATTTTTCTAGACTACACGTCCTAGAAAACCCTACCTTAAGTATTGTGCTGAGGCCAGGAATTGGGTTCCTCCTGGAATTGGGTCCCCAGCATTTTTTTTTATTTCAGCAGCCTCCTTGGTGGTAGCTTCTTCAATGTTTTGCCATTCAGAATCCTGGCTCATATGCCAAAAACCTTCCATTATATTCCAACCTATCTCTCCCCATGTCCATTGCTCCAAACTAAGGACAGTAACTGTTTTAGGTGCTCTGTGTGCAAAGGCATGCAGTAAGGCCCCCCCCTTTGTTGCCAATGTTGTTGCTGTTATAATGAAGCATCGAAAAAGAAAAAACCAATAATCACAACTATTTACCTTAAAGCCTTTATACAAGACCCTTAGAGATGAACAAGCTTTATTTTGTATAAAGGTTTGTAGACTGCAGCTCACGTCACCATTCTGTGAACCTGAAGAGATGGGCTTCAATCCATGAAGGTTTGTACCTCCCCCCCAAAAAGCTGGCCAGTCTTTAAGATGCCACAAGACTCTTGAGTGTTATTGAATCAATGTACACTAATAAGTCTTGGAAGCTTCCTGAACTTTGCCACACACTAAACTGTGAAGTAGCCTTCCTGCTTTTTAGGCCACCCAAGATTGTCTTAACAGAACTTGAATGATAACATAACTTGAAAGCAATGAGTTGTATATCTCTCTGTGTTCCTCCTTTTCAGATATAGATGAGTGCCTTGAACAAAATATCTATTGTGGACCAAATCGCATGTGCTTTAACATGAGAGGAAGCTATCAATGTATTGATACACCTTGTCCTCCAAATTATCAGCGAGATTCTCTTTCTGGGTATGTTTTATCTTCAGTATACAGTGGCGCCCCGCTAGACTATTACCTCACAAAATGACAAATCCGCATGACGATGAGTTTTTGTGATCGCTATAGCGCTTTGCAAAATAGTGTTTTCTATGGGCGATTTTTGCTATACGATGTTTCGGTCTGTGCTTCACAAGACTTTTTTTGGGGGGACTGATGCTTCACAAGACGATGATTTTAACAGCTGATCAGCACTTCGCAAAACGGGTGTTTTCGGGACCAATGCTTCGCAAGACAGCGATTTTAACAGCTGATCAACGACTATTTTCCCCATTGGAATGCATTAAACGGATTTCAATGCATTCCAATGGGGAATCACATTTCACAAGATGATGTTTTCACAAGACAATGATTTCAATGGAATGGATTAACATCATCTTGCGGGGCACTACTGTGCAAGGATTTATAGAACAACAAAACCTAGAGGCAAAAAACAACATTTTGATTACGGTCCTCCCACCCAAGCCATTCCTTATTTTATTACCTTCCATAGGGGAGCTATAAGAGGGAACTATTCAGTATGAATTCCATGGCTGGTGTAGATCAGAAATCAATTTGAGAATAGGTCTGCAGGCCAAACATACTTCATTCTTCAGTCATCCTTTCTCTCTAACCTACTGTGATGTTTCTCAACAGCAAGAAAGCTCTTTTGAACTATGCTCATCTATGGATTTTGTACAGTAATCATATGTTAAGTTTACTCAATGCATTTATACCTTGCTTTCTCATCCCCAAAAGTGGCTTAAGAAAGTTTAAACTAGAAGAAATTCCTTTAAATGGTGTTTATTGGTCCCTACAATTTGGGAACTTGGTTAACTGAAACATTTCTCAGAAATGTTCACTGGCCATTTCATTTTTCTTGCTCTTTGGAATCTAGGCTTGGCGTGGGAGTGGCAGTGGTTTATTTTGTCCTGAATGGTTGTTTCCTGCCTTTGTGTATTTGAGAAACATATAAACTCAGTTTCTCTTTGCTAATGGGTTCCTGGTATTAGGAGTTCCTGCCCCTCCAAAATGGCTATGAATGAAGTGGAGCAATATGCAAGGACATGCTAACTCTATGACATCACATCACTTATTTAAGTTCAAGTTTTGGAAGACATGGGCTAGCAGGACTCTCACCTGAAAGTAAAAGCCTTCTAGTGATTTTGTGTTATATTGTGGAAAATTCTCCTTAATGTCCTCCTTAATCTCTCTAAAAAGCTCTTAAGTTTTCAAATAGATTCCATTCTAGAGGAAAGTACTGATGGTTAGATCTAGTAATCTTAAACTATGTATTTAGAAATTCACAGCTGCTTAACTTTATTGGTGTTCTGATGCAGTTCGAGTCTGGGCCTTCATGGTTGTGTTTGTTTTCAGGTTCTGCCTCAAGAACTGCCCACCCAATGATCTGGAGTGTGCCTTGAGCCCCTACGCCTTGGAATACAAACTTGTATCCCTCCCATTTGGGATTGCAGCTAATCAGGATTTAATCCGACTAGTTGCCTATACTGAAGATGGAGTGATGCATCCAAGAACAACTTTCATTATGGTAAATGAGGATGCAACAATCCCTTTTGCACTCAGAGATGAAAATTTGAAAGGAGTGGTGTACACAACCAGGCCTCTGCAAGAGCCAGAAACATACAGGATGAGAGTCAAGGCTCTCTCTTATGACATCAATGGAGCCATTGAGTATCAGACAACTTTCATAGTCTATATAGCTGTGTCTGCTTATCCATACTAGGAAAAGCTCTGCTGAGAGTAATCAAAGTATGTTAACCACATGCATATGTTTGCCACTGGGTGTCGCCACTTCCAGAATGACCACTGCCTCATCTTAAACCAGTTGCAGACTCTGCAGCTTATGGGAAGAAAATGGTGCTATGTTCTATCTTTGTTTCTTCCCTTTAGCCGCTAATCTGTTGCAATCCATCTTGACAAAAATGGCCATAAACCACGATTCTTTAGAATCGTAACCACTTGCTTTATTTATTACACTGGAGCAGTCACTTCCCAAAGATTGTTATGCTGACTGTTTGAGACTAATTTAGAAGGACTAATTAGCTGGTGATGCGGTGGTTGTAAGTGGAAGGCAAAAGAAAAGCCATTATTTCCCCTGATATGAAAACAAATTTAGGTGTATTTCTCACAGAATTGCAAGAAAGATTTTTTTTAAAAGAGGGCAATATCCTTTTGGACTCTAACACATTGCCCGGAGCTCCAGATTTGTGCAGATATGGAACAGGGTATCAGCTGCATCTTTGTTTAGCAAGTGGTGGAGCTAGAGCTGTCTTTTCTTGCCATGGTGAGGAGTGCTTCTTTCTTGATACTCAAAAACACTAAATTTAGACACTATTCTTGTTTCAGTAGGTAGTTTTGAAAGAGCAGAGATGGCAATGTGAATAGAGAAAAGCTTTTGATATTGTTTCTTAAATGTTTTTGTGTTCTATATTTCACTATGCCTTATCATGTCCTTTGGACCTCTTTACTCCATTTTCTCTGAATAACCCTTATGTATATGGGTGCTTGGTTTGGAAACACCACCTCAGAATCATTCCTGAAAATATTGGAGGTGTATTGTACAGGCTAAGAAATTCAGGTTTCTCCTTCAACGGTTGACAGGAAAGATTAGCTTATATGGAGCATTGCCAATATCAAATCAATTAGGTTTCAAGAAAGAGACAGAAATCTAGAAAGGTGTCGCAAGTTTGGTCAAGCAGTGCATTAGGTGTCAATACACTGTATAAGGTGGTAACAAACTCTGGAAGTAATTTGCCAAGATGTATTCTATTTTTATGAAAGTATGTATGTATATATAATGTGTCATTTGCTTGTGTGTATTTTCTATGCAACATCAAAGTGTTTCCCCGTCCCCAAAAAATGAAAACAAATGTTTTACTAAAGAGGATTGTTTACACAATGGAAATAACCAAAATAAAGCATCACATTCTTTTTAAAAAATAATACGGTACGACTGCTAAATAGCATTAATTTCCTTATCCACCTTTAACCTCTGTGTTTGTTTGAAGTATTGTCCATTGGTGTAGAGATAGCAGATGATGCTATAGTTCACTGAAAACTATAGCTATATCTACCTAGAGATTTTCTGAAGCTAAATCTAAATACCTAAATCTAAGTATCACTTTGGACTATAGGGTGCTGGAAGGATACAGTCATGTGAAAAATAATGTATACCCGCTTTGAATTCTATGGTTTCACATATCAGAACATAATAAAAATCATCTGGTGCTTAGTAGGTCTGAAAATTAGGTAAATACAGTCTCCAGCGAACAACAATCCATGGCATATTACACTGTGTCGTGATTTCTTTGACAAAAATAAAACCAAAATGGAGAAGCCATGTGTGAAAATGTAAGTACATCTTATGACTCAATAGCTTGTAGAACCACTTTTAGAAGTAACAACTTCAAGTAATTATTTTCTGTATGACTTTATCAGTCTCTCACATTGTTGTGAAGGCATTTTGGCCCACTCATCTTTACAATGTTGCTTCAATTCATTGAGGTTTGTGGGTATTTGTTTATGCACAGCTCTCTTAAGATCCCGCCACAGCATTTTAAGCAGGCTGAGGTCTGGACGTTGACTGGGCCATTGCAACACCTTGATTCTTTTCTTTTTCAGCCATTCTGTTGTAGATTTGCTGGTGTGCTTGGAATCATTGTCCTGTTGCATCACCCAATTTCGGCTGAGCTTTAACTGTCAGACAGATGGCCTCACATTTGACTCTAGAATACTTTGGTATACAGAGGAGTTCATGGTAGACTCAATGACTGCAAGGAGCCCAGGTCCTGAGACTGTAAAAAAAAACCCAAATAAGAACCCCTCCAAGTTGATATGAGGTGTTTCTGCTGATATGCTGTGTTCGGTTTTCACCAAACATGACGGTGGGCATTATGGCCAAAGATTTCCACTTTGGTCTCATCTGTCCGAAGGAAATTGTTTCAGACATTTTGTGGTTTCCAAACCTAGGCTGTGTTGTCATGTTCGTTTTAGAGAGAAGAGGCTTTCTCCTGGCAACCTTACCAAGCAAACTATACTTATTCAGTCTTTTTCTAATTGTACTGGTATGCACTTTAAAATGCCAACTGAGGCCCATAGAGTCTGAGATGTAACTCCTGAGCTTTTTGGAGTTTTTCTGAGCATTGCACGGTCTGACTTTGGGGTGAATTGGCTTGGACTCCTGGAAAGATTGGCAACTGTCTTCAATGTTTTCCACTTGTGAATACAAGTAATCTTCCTCACTGTGGAATGATGGACTTTAAATTATTTGGAAATGGCCTTATAACCCTTCCTAGATTGATGGACATTGTATTAACATGCTCCAGACCAGCAAACTATGTAAACTTGGGCTTTTATAAAGGTGGTCACACTTGCTGATGTACAGTTACTCAAGGGCATTTGGTTAGCATCACCTGGCTGCTACTTAGCCTCTTAATTCCTATGGAAACAGTAAGGTTGTATTGCTTCCATAGGAATTTCACACATAGCTTCTCCATTCTGGCTTTATTTTTATAAGATAAATCATGACATGGTATAATATGTTATGTGTTGTTCATTGGAGATTGTACAGTATTTAATTTTTAGATCTGCTAAGGACTAGATGACTTTTATTACAGTGTTTCACCCAAAAATAAGGCAGGGTCTTATGTTAATTTTGCTCCAAAAAAAAAAAAAAAAAAAAGGAGCTGGGCTTTTTTCTGGGGGAGTTTTTTTTTTTTGTTTTATTTTTTACATGTACAACAATCTACGTTTATTTAAATACAGACATCTCCTCTTCTGGTTGCTGTACAGTGGTGGAGGGTGGGCTTTCACGTTGTTGTTGTTTAGTCATTAAGTGTGTCCAACTCTTCATGACTCCATGGACCAGAGCATGCCAGGCCTCCTGTCTTCCACTGCCTCCTGGAGTTTGGTCAAATTCATGTTGGTAGTTTCGATGACACTGTCCAACCATCTCGTCCTCTGTCGTTCCCTTCTCCTCTTGCCCTCACACTTTCCCAACATCAGGGTCTTTCCCAGGGAGTCTTCTCTTCTCATGAGATGGCCAAAGTACTGGAGCCTCAGCTTCAGGATCTGTCCTTCCAGTGAGCACTCAGGGTTGATTTCCTTCAAAACAGATAGGTTTGTTCTCTTTGCAGTCCAGGGGACTCTCAAGAATCTCCTCCAGCACCACAATTCAAAAGTACCAATTCTTCGACCGTCAGCCTTCTTTATGGTCCAGCTCTCACTTCCATACATTGCTACTGGAAAAACTATAGCTTTGACTATGCAGACCTTTGTGGGCAAGGTAATGTCTCTGGTTTTTAAGGTGCTGTCTAGGTTTGTCAGGGTTTCACTTAACTAGGACTTATTTTGGGGGTAGGGCTTATATTACAAGCATCCTGAAAAATCATACTAGGTCTTATTTTCAGGTTAGGTCTTATTTTCAGGGAAACAGGATATGTCCTGATGTATAAAACCATAGAATTTAAAGAGGGTGTCCTTTCTTTCTCACATGGCCAGTATAGCTTCCCATGACCAATAGCTTCCCTGCCATGTTATGCAGTATTATATATGCACTGCCTGAATCCCTATGCAGATTCTCAATACTCCTTGACCCATGTCCCAATCAGTTGAGTAGAATACAAAAAATCTAAAGGGCACTAAAGTATAGTTCATTCAACCAGTGCATTTGATCACATTCTTCATCAGCTATTATAAAGCAACACAACACCCTGACTGTTACAGTGTACCATGATAAATAATTGTGTCATTTGCTGAAATCTGGATCATTGTTATGTGCAAAGCTGCCTCTGATAATCAGCCATAATTTGGTAACCAGGCACAAACTACAATCTGAGCTGCTGATTTTTTGCTGGTTTACCAATTCTGACTTTTTATACAATGCCTGAGGGTTCTGAATCTGGCTTATCCCCAAATTGTTCTTCCACTTGCTCACCCAGGAACAGGTTGACTTCAGGGGTAGGAGAGAAACAAACTAGAAAGCAGAAAAGTAAACCATGGTTTATTTGGTCATCTGCCTGGCATTTTTGGCATAAACAACAAATCATAGTTGTTTTCCACATGCAATGATGGCTTGTAATCAACTCTCCCGCTTAAGTTTCTATCCCGCTGTGTGGGAGCCTTGATCCATGCGCACAGGGTGGACAGGGCTTTATTCAGAATGGGAAGTAAACAAACTGACTGCCAGCTGCCCATGAGCAACCCTGACGGAGCTTTGGGCAAGCAGATGCATGCACAGCTTAGAGAGAACCTTGCTTGTAATGAAAATGTGTCGTGTAGGATAAACTATATTTGTGTGCCTTAGAAGTTCTTTCTTCCTGTTCCTGTTGTTGTGCCTCCCTGCCTTTTTCCTTTGCATAATATTGGTGTATCAACATTAGTAGCAACCATCTACTGCATTAGGATGATCATTTATTGAGAAGGATTTCATGCCTGTTCATCAACAGCATAGACTGGCAACTGTATAGTTACTATTTACATTAGATAGTGTGACTGTTATTTCTGTCCCTCAGAAACCAGTTCGTAAACCTTTCAATGCCAGAGCTTTTTGGCTTGAATCTATGGCTTATAGTGACCCTTCTAGGGTTTTCAAGGTACATGAGGTATTGAAGGGGTGGTGTTACGCCTCCAGTAAGCTTCCATGGCTGAGCTAGGAAATTGAATCCAGGTCCTCTGAGTCCTAGCCTATTACTTTATCCACTACACTACAAGGGGTCTCTATTGGGCATAGGGAGATATATAGAGGAGGCAGTTATGGAATAATGCAAGAGGTAAGGACAACTGGGGGTTGAATGTGCACAATTCAAGTAGCCTGGGCAGTCTTGACAACCACTCTCATGGTTTGAAAATGCTGCTGCTAAATGCCAGGTTAATGAAAGAGGAAAAAACAGCCATCGTAGCTGAGCAGGTCAACCTGGTTTATGTTACAGAGACCTGGCTAGATGAAATGAGAACAGATGCAAAGAAAATAACTGCTCTCAGCTCTGCTTACCCAGGATCGCTGTGAAGCAGGATGAAAAAATGAGTAGGGAGGCAGACATGCCGTGGTTTATCATGATCCCATCTCCTTCACCAGTTAACACATTCCAGTTTGCCAAATTAGAATGTGTTTATCTGAAATTGGGAGGCCTGTGACAGAATAGCAATTGATTTTGTCTGCCACCCACCCCACTGCTCATCAGTCCTCTTTCCAGTGATGATCAGGGTGGTACTGGTGGAGTCTCACTTGTTTTGCCAGGGTCTCAACATTTTAAACCATGACAGCCCTAATAGGAGCGGCTCACGGTTTTATTAAACAGCTGCAATGATGGTTGTTGTCTTGGAGGGTTTTAAAATGGTATTTGATAAATCCATGGAAGATGGTATTATGAGAGATTACGTCAAAGCCCATAATCCCAGAAATCCATTTCTAGATACTGTATAGTGTTCCTCAAGTGGAGATGAGGGGTGAGATATAATTGGGAAAGCACATTAAAAAAAGAAGCACATGGACCATAAGGATTATCTCTGGAATGTAAACTTTAGTTTCCTTGGCATATCTGATTCCAGAATTATACACAATAAATCAGACCATATTTCTGGGAAGAAAACAAAAAGAAAGGAAGAAGGATACATTTCTCTCACTGTTTTGGCTCTATCAGTAGCTGAGGAGCACAAGCAGGAACTTTTACACTAATGTTCTGCTGACTGGCCTTCAACAGGCAAACGATTGTTTGCTTTGTGAAAGGAATGATAGACTAGATGAGATTTTAATCTGATTCAACATAGCTCTTCTTAATCTTCAAGATGATAACAATGTATTATGGAAATATACCCTGCCCGCTAACTTTTCCTTTTAAAAGGTCCTGTTTATTTATTATGTATTTTTGGTTCAAGAAAAAAAGAAAGAAAATTGAAATTTTAACATGAGCATTT